TCATAAAATATATAGTTAATATCTTTTCCTTTTATTCTTTTAGTTATTATAATTTTTGCTTCTTTCTTTCAATATTAGTCTTGATTTGATTCTAATTTTAATTCAATTTTTAAGTTGGGTTATTGTTAAAATTAAAATTAATTATAATTTCTTTTTTATTGTTCTTTGCAAATTTTAGTTTAATCCTTTTCCTTTTCCTATTATTATTATTATTACTTTTATTATTATTATTATTATTATTATTATTATTATTATTATTATTATTATTATTATTATTATTATTATTATTATTATTATTATTATTATTATTATTATTATTATTATTATTATTATTATTATTATTATTATTATTATTATTATGTTTCAATAGTTTTTGTTGTTTTGTCATAATAAGAAATCAGTTTGGGACCATTCTCTTCATGCTACAATATATCCATGTTATGCTGCTGTCAACATGTCATGCTGCTGCCCTGTACTAAAACTTGCTACCAACCTGTCATAACAGTCCAAAAAAACGGTAACATAATATAATGTTTATTCAAAAAAACAAACTTGTTCACACCAGAAAAAACCAGATTGTCCCATTATAAAGGAGAATACATGGCATCAGATTAAAAAACTACACAGGAAAAACCACCAAACAACTGCTAACTTCTTTCAAAATACTCCACAATATTCTCTCTGTTTCACCACTTCATCCAACAATAACAACAAGGAAATCTCTACAATTCTCAACCAAAAATCCCTCCAGCTTCTTCTCTTGTGATATACTCCATTTACTGTCGAACAACAACAACCTTCAGTGCAACAACTTTTTTTTTAGTTTCAATTTCAACAAATCTCAAAAGGAAAAGGGGGAGAAATTTTAGTTTACCTGTCGAAGGTTTTTTAGAAACGGGAACTCGTCGGACTAGCGTTGATCGGGTGAGTCTTTCTTCTTTATATGCCCTTCCATTTATTACCATGCCCTGTTGTTGTTTGTTTGTTGCTGTAGTTACTATTTATCTTGATTTCGTTGTAATTGTGAAACTATGGAACTGCTGTGATATCAAACCAAGTGAACCTGAAAAAATAAAAAAATCATTGCTGCTGTTTTCAAAAGATAGAAAATAAAGAGTAAGAATTTTGAGTTGAAAATTAAGAATTCACATCTTAAATACATAAATCCTCATAAAACTTCAATACTTTTTTTTTCACAAATCTATAAACTATAAAAATAGAGGCCAATAACCAGAAAAATAAACATACTGATATTGGAGATCATAGACGAGAAGAGAGAGATCAGTAGGAAAAATATAAAAGTACCTCACCGTTTTTTAGATCTTCAATACACCCTGTATATTTCAAACGCCAAATCTCTGCACAATTCTGGAACCCTCTAAAAAATCATCATCCTTGAACTTTACTTTACTCTCCCTCTGTTCTGCCACGAACAACAAACCCCTCCACTTGTTCTTCCAAACAAGTGAATCACTGTGATATTCGACCTCCCTCCTCTGTTATCATATCATCCTAAGCCAACATTCATAGTTCATCTCTACAAACATCAACAAAACATTCAAAATCATAGGGAAAACGGAGTAGAAGAAAAAGATGCTGAGATTAGAAAAAAACCTTGTACCTGAAATTGAAAACCCTTAACCCTTTGCAAAACCCAAATTCACTGTCATCTTCATCTACCTGTCTGAACTACTCCCCTAAACTCCTCATAACCGTATTCAGCTTCTCCGCCGTAATCGACCCGTTCCCATCCATATCAAAAAACCGCAAACGCGTCCTTCAGATTCTCCAAGATCTCGTCTGAATCAACACCTTTCATATTCAACTCAATGAATTCCAGTAAGCTTATACAACCGTCGCCGTCTCCGTCGACCTCGCGGATCATGTTGTTCAGTTCTTCATCGCTTGCCGGCTGCCCTAAGCTTCCCATTATAGATCCCAGCTCGGAGGTCGAGATCTTCCCGTCGCCATTGACATCGAATTTCTTGAATACTTCTTCCAGTTCCCCGGCCAGACACGCGCGTGTATGCACGAACAGTGAGGTTGAGCGTGATGCCGTTGAGGATGACGATGGGTTTCGGTTGAACAGATTTATTCAAATTTTTCTCTTTGTTGAATGAATGAGAATTTGGATGAGAAGAGAAAAGGGGTTTGAAATCTATCTATGAGAGTAGATCTTGAAAACTGAGAGTTTGTGTTTGTTTACGGTTAATTTATGAATAGAAGAGAGAGATAGAGTAATTGGTTTCTAGAGAAATTAATTAATTATAATTTTCTTCTTCCCAAGTTAACAGCCGCGGCGCCTCATTGTTTAGGGTTCCTAAAAAACCTTTCTATTCTTCTCCCAATTGGGTTGACCCATTGGGTTGATAACCCATTTCCATTACCTCTTTTTATTTCATATTTTTAGCTTAATAAAAAGGTAAGTAACGAATGAGTAGTGTGGTGTGTTGGTTAGCACGTTAGTTTGACATGCTTAGGGTCTTAAGTTTGATTCCTGTTGAAATCCATTTATTCTTTTTTCATCCTTTTGTTTTAGACCAGTTAACTTTGTCTTATTATTTAAAATTTCCCCAAACAATACAAATATATAAAAATAGGTTTATATTTAATTTTTTGTTTACCTCATAAAAAATGTCGTAGAAATTATTATAATTGTCTTTCTTTTATTTTGATTAGTTGTTAGCTGTTTAATTTCTTTTTTCGATTATTTGAGCTTTATATTTTGTTTGCGCCATAAAAACTATATTATAATTGTTTTATTTTATTTTGATTAATTATTAGTCGTTAATCTTTTTTTTGATCATGTAATCTTTGTATCTTTCTTTCGTCTAATCCAAAGGGAATTGTCTAATTTTTGTTGACTTCATGTCCTCAAAAACGATCGAGCGAATACTCTCATTCATTAAAAGCTTAGGGTAATTTTTCCTCGAACATTCAATCTTTTTCGAAGCTTATACCGTTTTAAGCAAAAACTTCGACATTAGGTCGTCGTATCTTCAAAAACCCGTCCGTATCCCATTTCGGCCAAAACGATTCATTTTCAATCAGGCAATCAATTTTAAATAAAACAGATATTTCAAAAGGTTCCTATAGAGTACTATAGATACATTGGGTGCTAATACCTTCCCACTATATAACCAACCCCCGAACCATAAGATCTCTTTTCAAAACGCCTTGTATTTTCATTACTTTCAAAAGTATTGTTTACATTGCATATTTAGGGTTTTATTTCGCTCTTTTCCCTTTTCCTTCGGAAACAATAAAGCGCGGTGGCGACTCTTGCTTTTGTGAGACGAATTAACCAATAATTCGATCTCCGATTTACCCCGCTACATTTTTTATCGCTACAGAATTGGCGACTCTGCTGGGGAAAGATTGACCTCTTGCTGGTCCATCCCTAAGTGGGTTAAGCCTAATTTGTTTTATCTGTTTACTATTATTTGATTTGCTTGATTATATGTTTAAATTGGGGTGTTTGGGTTTTTTGAAGGACGAATCCTACACCCGGATTAAGTAACACTTAAGGAATAGGACGGGCGGTATAGTCATGTTAACTTTGAGGGAGTAATCCCGAAGAAAGAGGCATGAGATCCCCCACTCAATGGAAGGCCCTCTTGGACTTAATATTTGTTTACCGAGTAATCGGGAAGACGTTATTATTTTCGACCTAGGAGCCCGAGAAGTTGAGGACCGTAGAACCCTAACCCATCTTGGCCTTTTTAGGTGTAGCGCGGAGACTATAACGGAGTAATTCGGAAGTAGTTGTTACGCGATGCTATGCTCGGACGAGTTTCTCTTGAGAATATTGCTAATTATCGAGTAATCCAGACGTTGGCAATATCCGAAGGAGGAATGTAGACTCTGGGAACTCTTAGAACCTTGTCTTACAGGTGTGATTAAACCCTTAGTACATACCTTGGGGATGTTTTTACCCTTGACTCCATGCTCGTGACGTTGAATCTTTTAACCCCATGTTTGTGACCTTGCTTGTGGTTGTTGCATCGCCATGCATTCATGCATCCATAAAACTCTTTTCACTTGACTTTGAAGGATTTTGGAGGTCTTTCTTTGTAAACATCACTAGTTTCGTCAAACTCAATGGATCTTGGGTGTCGATAGGGCGAAAACCCCAATCCACCAAAATGGATGATTGATCTTGACGATAACTTGATCAATGTTTGGAGCCAATTTAAAATTCATCTGTTATCTTCATACTTGGATGTTTATAACTTGATATCTTGAGTTCCTTGGAAGTCAAATAAAACTCTCTTTTGCATATCATAAATCATTCTACATTTTCTTTGTCTCACTTTCAAAGGTCTTTTTCCGAGTCTCATTTTTCCTTCGGTCTCACCAGTACAACACCGACGCTAAGAGAACAATGGAGAATATCAAGCAAGAGGTTTCTGAACTCCGCAGAGAGGTGACTATTTTGAAAGCTGGTTTGGATCACTTAACTGGTTTGGTTGAAATTCTGATCTCCGCCCAAGTCAATCCGTCTAGGAGGGAGGAAGCAAGGATAAAAGTCTTCACGGAGACTCTAAAATCTTTTTCTCATGAAAAGGTGACGGTTAATGCACCTGATGACTTTCCTGACAAGGTGAATGTGGGAGTGCGTCTAGAAGAAGATGTCGGAAAGGGATGTTTATATGAAGTGGGTAGCTCAGTTAATGGTGTGAAGAAGTTTGATAATGACTTTTCCAAGAAGAGAACCAGAGGAAGAGATAATCATCATCAGAATCATCACGTTCATCAACAGAATCAGCAAGTTCCTAATCAGAGGAAAACCCAGTTTGATTCAATTCCAATCACCTATACAGAGTTGTTCCCTATCCTGTTGCAGAGGAATTTGGTTCAGACCCGACTTCCACCGAAGATCTCTGAGAAGTTACATTGGAACTACAAAGCTGATTTGGCTTGTACTTTTCATCAAGGTGCTCCTGGGCATGAATTGGAGGGTTGCTTTGCTTTGAAGATTGAGGTTCAGAAGTTGGTCAGAAGTGGTATCTTGTCATTCAAGGACGTTGGTTTTGAAGTTCAAATCAAACAGGCGCCGAAGAGTAAACACGACTGAGGGTGACTTTGAGTTGTTGAAAATGTTTTCGGTAGTTCAAGTGGAAAGCCTTCCTAGATTATTAACTTGTTTCTGCTTTTGTAGCTTTTCTTATTTATCAAAACATTGTTTGCGTGTAAGAACTTGTTTGCGTCTGGATGATTATTTTAATACAATGAGTATGTTTGTCTTGAAGAAATTCATTTGTTTCACTCATATTTGTTTTCAAATTTTAAATTTCTTTTTGCATTATGATGCCAACTTGCTGGCCTTTCTTTTGTCTAGGCAGAGATTGAAGGGGGGATGATGATCTAAAGAACACAAAATCGTTGGTTGCATGCTTTTGAATAAAATCTTGTTGATGATGTACAGGCATTATTTCAAATCCCTAAACACCGGAGATATAAGGAAGATAATCCCTTGCTAACCCCTTTTGAGCCTTTGAAGCAGAAGTTTCTTTTCTATACGAAAAAAACCTTGAATTTTAACCTGGGGCAGGGTAGCTTTCTGTTAATTTGATTGAGTGTTCAAAATTCGTAAGAAAGATGTTACCGTCACAAAATCCTCTTGATAGATGAACACTCAGTTTGAATTAACCGAGCATAGGGTTGGAGAACATCATGAAGAATGGGTGGGCACCAAATATTTTGAGCCTTAAAATCTTTTTCTAAAAAACCACGAACTGGACCACCTTACAACCTTTGAAAGTCCTGATTAAAGCAAGGTCATTCTGAAAGCATACTTCAATGAGATAGTGTTCCTGACTCCCATGAATGTTAAATAATTATGTTGGTAGCATATGTTTTTCCTATACAAAAATAAATGATGCTCTAACTCGCAAAATTTGTGCGATATCTTTTCAAAATCTTCAAGACTTACATAACTGTTGCATTAGAATTTTCATTCTCATTGTAAACTTTTTTCTAACTGCAAAACATTTGCTTGATATCAAGGAAGCTCACATAAACACCAGTGATGAGTTTATTCTTTTAAGGCTTGAAACTATGTTGAGTAATTGGCGGACCACGTCAAGAAAAACCATATCCAGGGGCATGTCAGCTGAAGACCTTAAGCACGAACATGTTGCTTCTCCCAGTTATTGCTTTTCCTAACTTGTTTGCTCGTTTGGGGCAAAATTTCGAAGACTTTGTTATGCCAACTACAGTCAATCCGGGGCAATCACATCGAGATTTGATGATTTTCTCTAAGAGTTTGAAGACACCAGAGCATGGTGAATGCCAGGTCTTTTGTAAAATCCTCTTGAGACGTTTTTTCCTCATCAACCATATAGCTTGGGGCATTTTAGAAGTGAAACTATTCGCAAGAATCGTCGTGCATCATGCAGCTCATCAGCAGTAGGCTTGGGGCATCCAAATTTAGTCCCAGGAGCAATCCAAATTTGTCAAGATATGTTTTCAGAGGGTGGTGTTCCCAGTATATCCAGCTAAGCATGACTCTTTTTCAGCTGAAGCTTTGTTCGTGTTGTTATCCTTTCATTGGGTTGTCGACAATAGAAGACCGGACTTTGGGTTTTCTACCTGAAAATATCTTCCTCTCCAAGAGATTTAAGCCTTGTAGAAGGATTTTACAGCATTGTTGGCTTTTGTCTTCTATCTCCAGTAATGTTCCCCTCCTTTTGAGATTAGCCGAGCGCCGGGTTGTACTGTGATGTCTTATCATCTTCTGTCCATCTCCCCTGTCGTTTTTGTCAGCATACACATGACATTCATTCACACTTGCATCATGCACGCACAGTTGTATTTGTTGATGTCTCTGAGTTCGTACACCTTGGTTGTGTCTATTCAAATAGCACATTTGATCTTTCCAAATAGAGTGCCAACTTAAGCATAAAATGCGCCTCCTTTCTAATTCCCCAACTGAGCTAATCCTCGTGGATGACTTTTGATTTAGCTTACCTTGTCCACTGTTGGATAGGATGAATTCCCCAATCGAGTTAATTTCTCATTGGGTAGAGTCTTGTTTGACTGTTTTCTCTCTGGTTACTCCTGGATGAAGTTGTTGCCTCTTGCATAGGCTATCTCTTTGATTTTCCCCAGTGAAATCGCGACCCAGACAGTTGGTGCATTTATTTTGCACGTTAAAGTATATGATCTCCTCGGGAAGGATTGATTCAGGGTTCTCTTTGACGAAGATTTTATTCTCTGCCAATATCATCGCAGTTTCCTTCTGAATTATTATTGGAAGACGACAAGCGGCAGCTCTTCATGAGCAACTTGTACGTTATAGACACCGTTGGAAAACGCCAAGCGGCAGCTCTTCACGAGCAACTTGTACATTACTTTTTAAAAGCGCCGAACAGCAGCTCTTCATGAGCTACTAGTGCGTCATTACTTTTTGAAAGCGCCGAGCAGCAGTTCTTCATGAGCTACTAGTGCGTCATTTATTCTTTTTGAAAGCGCCGAGCAGCAGTTCTTCATGAGCTACTAGTGCGTCATTACTTCTTGAAAACGCCAAGCAGCAGTTCTTCATGAGCTACTAGTGCGTCATCGTCATTTTATTTTTCTGAAAACGCCAAGCAGCAGTTCTTCATGAGCTACTAGTGCGTCATCGTCATTTTATTTTTCTAAAAGCGACAAGCAGCAGCTCTTCACGAGCTACCGATACGTTATTATTCTTCGGAAAAACAGCAAGTGGTAGCTTCTTTATTGGAGCAGCTTGTATGTTATCGGTATTTTCTTCGGAAAACAGCAAGTGGTAGCTTCTTTATTTGAGCAGCTTGTATGTTATCGGTATTTTCTTCGGAAAACAGCAAATGGTAGCTTCTTTATTGGAGCAGCTTGTATGTTATCGGTATTTTCTTCGGAAAACAGCAAGTGGTAGCTTCTTTATTTGAGCAGCTTGTATGTTATCGGTATTTTCTTCGGAAAACAGCAAGTGGTAGCTTCTTTATTTGAGCAGCTTGTATGTTATCGGTATTTTCTTCGGACGACAGCAAGCGGCAGCTTCTTTATTTGAGCAGCTTGTATGTTATCGGTATTTTCTTCGGACGACAGCAAGCGGCAGCTTCTTTATTTGAGCAGCTTGTATGTTATCGGTATTTTCTTCGGACGACAGCAAGCGACAGCTTCTTTATTTGAGCAGCTTGTATGTTATTGGTATTTTCTTTGGACGACAACAAACGACAGTTTTCTTTATTTGAACAACGTTCGTATCTACAGTCTTATTACCTCAGCATTAATGAGTATATCTCGGAAAATCTAGCAGAGAAGTCTGTTACGAATCTATACCTCCAGAAGTCGGTAATCTGTTATCAGCAATTTGATACTCTTTGTCCGCCATCGACCTTGAGTTGCGAACTCACTGTTTTGGGATCAATGATCTGTTACGGCCTATGCAAGATGCTCTCTTTGTTAGGGTTAGAGGTCGTATTCCCTCGATTTTATTTGCTGTCAGGAGTCTGTCGTTTGAAGTCGATAGCTTGTTTCCCCAGTAATGTATAATCCATGCCTCTGTGTTTTATTGGTGTTCGATTCCTCCAACATTGTCTTGCTTCATACAGTATCTTTCTCTGTGAATTCAATCACTGCATTCATATCAACTTGATGACGGCATCTTAGGACAAAATTTGCGTAGTTATGTATTTAAGTACCTTCAATCTCGTCGAAACGAAGATTTCGATCTTCATATCTCCGGATAGAAGGAACTTAAATAGGGGCAGCTGTTGTACCCCAAATTTTGACCTAAGATCCCACCTCCCATCTGCATTATTACATAGCGAGTGTTCACAAGCGATTCGACCTTTTTTTTGCCATTTTTCAGGTCAGATTTCAAGAATTCATAACTTCTTCGAATTTTGACATTTTTTTTAGTGGTTCTTTTACACGTAATTATCCTTGACAACAACTACAACTTTTCTTTACAAGTCAAGGGCAAATTATGCATTGAGAAGCCACGAAAAAATTGTTAACGTTAGAAGTCGTTTCAGGAATTTGATTCTTAATTTTGGACTATGTTTTGTCCGACCATACATTTTACATCATCTTTCTTTTATTCTTATTTCCATAAAAAAGGAAAATCCTAAAAAATATTTAGTTCATGCTATTTTCATTTTATTTATGTTTTTATTCAAAATATGAAAAATAAAAAAATTAGTTTCCTTAAGTTTCATTTAGTTTTTTATTCTTGTATCATTTAAGCTCAAATTATAATCTTTTAGATTTAATTTAGTAAAAAAATCTCAAAAATATGTGTTATCATTATTTTATTTTAGCATTTCACTTTAATTCAAAAATCATAAAATATATAGTTAATATCTTTTCCTTTTATTCTTTTAGTTATTATAATTTTTGCTTCTTTCTTTCAATATTAGTCTTGATTTGATTCTAATTTTAATTCAATTTTTAAGTTGGGTTATTGTTAAAATTAAAATTAATTATAATTTCTTTTTTATTGTTCTTTGCAAATTTTAGTTTAATCCTTTTCCTTTTCCTATTATTATTATTATTACTTTTATTATTATTATTATTATTATTATTATTATTATTATTATTATTATTATTATTATTATTATTATTATTATTATTATTATTATTATTATTATTATTATTATTATTATTATTATTATTATTATTATTATTATTATTATTATTATGTTTCAATAGTTTTTGTTGTTTTGTCATAATAAGAAATCAGTTTGGGACCATTCTCTTCATGCTACAATATATCCATGTTATGCTGCTGTCAACATGTCATGCTGCTGCCCTGTACTAAAACTTGCTACCAACCTGTCATAACAGTCCAAAAAAACGGTAACATAATATAATGTTTATTCAAAAAAACAAACTTGTTCACACCAGAAAAAACCAGATTGTCCCATTATAAAGGAGAATACATGGCATCAGATTAAAAAACTACACAGGAAAAACCACCAAACAACTGCTAACTTCTTTCAAAATACTCCACAATATTCTCTCTGTTTCACCACTTCATCCAACAATAACAACAAGGAAATCTCTACAATTCTCAACCAAAAATCCCTCCAGCTTCTTCTCTTGTGATATACTCCATTTACTGTCGAACAACAACAACCTTCAGTGCAACAACTTTTTTTTTAGTTTCAATTTCAACAAATCTCAAAAGGAAAAGGGGGAGAAATTTTAGTTTACCTGTCGAAGGTTTTTTAGAAACGGGAACTCGTCGGACTAGCGTTGATCGGGTGAGTCTTTCTTCTTTATATGCCCTTCCATTTATTACCATGCCCTGTTGTTGTTTGTTTGTTGCTGTAGTTACTATTTATCTTGATTTCGTTGTAATTGTGAAACTATGGAACTGCTGTGATATCAAACCAAGTGAACCTGAAAAAATAAAAAAATCATTGCTGCTGTTTTCAAAAGATAGAAAATAAAGAGTAAGAATTTTGAGTTGAAAATTAAGAATTCACATCTTAAATACATAAATCCTCATAAAACTTCAATACTTTTTTTTTCACAAATCTATAAACTATAAAAATAGAGGCCAATAACCAGAAAAATAAACATACTGATATTGGAGATCATAGACGAGAAGAGAGAGATCAGTAGGAAAAATATAAAAGTACCTCACCGTTTTTTAGATCTTCAATACACCCTGTATATTTCAAACGCCAAATCTCTGCACAATTCTGGAACCCTCTAAAAAATCATCATCCTTGAACTTTACTTTACTCTCCCTCTGTTCTGCCACGAACAACAAACCCCTCCACTTGTTCTTCCAAACAAGTGAATCACTGTGATATTCGACCTCCCTCCTCTGTTATCATATCATCCTAAGCCAACATTCATAGTTCATCTCTACAAACATCAACAAAACATTCAAAATCATAGGGAAAACGGAGTAGAAGAAAAAGATGCTGAGATTAGAAAAAAACCTTGTACCTGAAATTGAAAACCCTTAACCCTTTGCAAAACCCAAATTCACTGTCATCTTCATCTACCTGTCTGAACTACTCCCCTAAACTCCTCATAACCGTATTCAGCTTCTCCGCCGTAATCGACCCGTTCCCATCCATATCAAAAAACCGCAAACGCGTCCTTCAGATTCTCCAAGATCTCGTCTGAATCAACACCTTTCATATTCAACTCAATGAATTCCAGTAAGCTTATACAACCGTCGCCGTCTCCGTCGACCTCGCGGATCATGTTGTTCAGTTCTTCATCGCTTGCCGGCTGCCCTAAGCTTCCCATTATAGATCCCAGCTCGGAGGTCGAGATCTTCCCGTCGCCATTGACATCGAATTTCTTGAATACTTCTTCCAGTTCCCCGGCCAGACACGCGCGTGTATGCACGAACAGTGAGGTTGAGCGTGATGCCGTTGAGGATGACGATGGGTTTCGGTTGAACAGATTTATTCAAATTTTTCTCTTTGTTGAATGAATGAGAATTTGGATGAGAAGAGAAAAGGGGTTTGAAATCTATCTATGAGAGTAGATCTTGAAAACTGAGAGTTTGTGTTTGTTTACGGTTAATTTATGAATAGAAGAGAGAGATAGAGTAATTGGTTTCTAGAGAAATTAATTAATTATAATTTTCTTCTTCCCAAGTTAACAGCCGCGGCGCCTCATTGTTTAGGGTTCCTAAAAAACCTTTCTATTCTTCTCCCAATTGGGTTGACCCATTGGGTTGATAACCCATTTCCATTACCTCTTTTTATTTCATATTTTTAGCTTAATAAAAAGGTAAGTAACGAATGAGTAGTGTGGTGTGTTGGTTAGCACGTTAGTTTGACATGCTTAGGGTCTTAAGTTTGATTCCTGTTGAAATCCATTTATTCTTTTTTCATCCTTTTGTTTTAGACCAGTTAACTTTGTCTTATTATTTAAAATTTCCCCAAACAATACAAATATATAAAAATAGGTTTATATTTAATTTTTTGTTTACCTCATAAAAAATGTCGTAGAAATTATTATAATTGTCTTTCTTTTATTTTGATTAGTTGTTAGCTGTTTAATTTCTTTTTTCGATTATTTGAGCTTTATATTTTGTTTGCGCCATAAAAACTATATTATAATTGTTTTATTTTATTTTGATTAATTATTAGTCGTTAATCTTTTTTTTGATCATGTAATCTTTGTATCTTTCTTTCGTCTAATCCAAAGGGAATTGTCTAATTTTTGTTGACTTCATGTCCTCAAAAACGATCGAGCGAATACTCTCATTCATTAAAAGCTTAGGGTAATTTTTCCTCGAACATTCAATCTTTTTCGAAGCTTATACCGTTTTAAGCAAAAACTTCGACATTAGGTCGTCGTATCTTCAAAAACCCGTCCGTATCCCATTTCGGCCAAAACGATTCATTTTCAATCAGGCAATCAATTTTAAATAAAACAGATATTTCAAAAGGTTCCTATAGAGTACTATAGATACATTGGGTGCTAATACCTTCCCACTATATAACCAACCCCCGAACCATAAGATCTCTTTTCAAAACGCCTTGTATTTTCATTACTTTCAAAAGTATTGTTTACATTGCATATTTAGGGTTTTATTTCGCTCTTTTCCCTTTTCCTTCGGAAACAATAAAGCGCGGTGGCGACTCTTGCTTTTGTGAGACGAATTAACCAATAATTCGATCTCCGATTTACCCCGCTACATTTTTTATCGCTACACCAGCGAACACCTCCACGCCCAGAAATCCCAGATCGAAGGTATTCATCCAGCCAGTACCCAAATCGAAATTCCAATCTACTGGTAAGAGAGGGTAAATTATCCAACCTTGTTTTTGCATAACACATCATTACTTGTTGTTACCTTCGATTTGCCATCCTAGACAGGATCAAAGGGCCTGGGTTTGGCACCCAGGTCATGTTTTTCGTGTGCTAACATTTGCTGCAGATTTAGCCTGAAGAGACCCCAATAAGTGCAGGATCGAAGGGCCTGGGGTTCAATACCCAGGCCCTGCATTTTATTTTGCTCACATACTTTTTCAGGTATAACAGCCCAGATCGAAGGAGACACCTTCTCTGGATCGAACCCATTAGCATGCTGGATCGAAGGAGGCATCTCATTCCAGGATCGAAAGCCATGACTTCCATGATCAAAAGACAGTCCTCTTCCCTGGATCGAAGGCTACTCACGCCTTGTTGTCTGGCCCAATCGAAAGGACCAGGACTCTCTCTGGATTGAAGCTTCCATGCTCTCCCTGGGTCGAAACTCCTTTTGTTTCCTGGATCGAAGGATCCCCCTTGTATTTTATTTTTGTTTTCCATAGACTTATTTTTTATCTTTTTAATTAACCTTAAAATCAAAAACCACAAAAACATTAGGCTAGTTCTTTTTCTATTAAATTAATCTTGTTAATTAACCTTTTAATCATCTTAACATTTTTCCAAAAAAAACTATAATTAAATAGATTTAGATTATTTTCCCAAAAATAAAATAAAACAACAAAAAGATTTTATTCTTAGGATTTTTTTTTAGGGTTTATTTTCAGATTCGCGTGCGTTTATTTTTATTATAATTGTCTACTGGTTTGTAATAGCTTAACTAAGACCTTTACTGCTTTTATTTCCCCAATTTTGGACATGTAAATAATCCCCCTCCCCGAAGCCTTGTAATAGCGTAGGATTTACATTTTCCGCACTTTAAATTCCTGTACATATATTAACTGTTTAGATGTATGCTAACTAGGATTGCATGGCAAGATCTATCTTAATTTAAAATCAACCGCAACTCACCATAACATGTACAAAGATAACATAAACTGAAAATTGACACACTTGCACATGCCACTCCTAGGGTACGCCTCACTTGGTTGCCTCGAACGTGGTCATTAAGTATAGGATGTTTTAGAGGTCGTCCTTTTGTCCCAAGATCATAAGTTGCCTCGAAATGGTTGTCTCGATAAAAATGATCTAAGACATTAGGATTACCACTAAAGTGTCCTAACATTGCTTTAATGACCACACGCCCCTAAAATCGAATTGACCCAAAAAACTCCAACGATTGTGCTACCTACTCCTCAATAGTGGGATAGCACTGTCTAAAAGACAGTTGCACAGTTTAATTCCTTGTTGAGTAGGTAGATATTCTTAAGTACTTGCTCTCTTTTAAACAAAACAAAACTTTTCGCACATACACTTTTACAAACAAAGTTTTCAAAAACACTTCATTACACTCTTGAGGACAGAAACAAGAGTTATATCGAAGTTTCAAATAAAAACTTTTCAAACCCACAATCACAAAGAAAATCAAACCTTTTGAAAACATAGCGAGCAAGTACCTAAGAGCCCGTGGATAACCACGGATAGAAAGGGTGCTAACACCTTCCCTTTCTATAATCTACCTCCCGAACCCGAGAAACATCTCGAAAAGGAATTTTTCTGTGCTTTTGTCCTTTCCTTGTTGGATAAAATAAAAGACGGTGGTGACTCTTGCTTACCGCGACACTTTGCGAAAACAAACGCAAACCAGCATTCCAAAAACAGTCAGTTCTCATTCCCACCGATCACACTTGGTAACAGAGGAAAATGAGGCTGCTTCAACCCACTTTGTGAAGTAATCAATGGCAACGAGGATGAAGCGATGTCTGTTAGAAGCGGTAGGCTTAATCTCTCCAATCATATCAATGCCCCACATTGCAAATGGCCAAGCAGCAATCAAGACATTCAGAGGTACATGAGGCACGTGTATTTTATCAGTGTAGATCTGGCATTTATAACAAGTTCTCGAGTGGTGGTGATAATCGGTTTCCATAGTAGACCAATAGTAACCTACTCTCAAAATCTTCTTGGCCATATTATGTCCACTAGAATGGGTGCCAAAGATACCTTTGTGCATATCTTCTATAATTTTCTCCACTTCTTTCTTGTCCACACAATGAAGCAGAGTCGAATCATGATTGTGCTTGTATAGAATTATGTTGCTCAAGAAGAACTTTGCTGAGAACCTCTGTAGGAATTTCTTGTCATTGATATATTCTCTTTTAGGGTACTCTTGATCCTCAAGATAACTCTTCACTTCATAAAACCAATGTTTCTCTTCTACATCGTCGGTATCAACTTCATAACAGTGTGCCGGTTCGTCTAGTCTTTCAATGGTGATTCTGGGAGCCTCATTATCCCATATAACCTTGAACATAGATGACATTGTAGCCAACGCCTCCACCAGCTGATTCTCCTCTCGTGGGATGTGCTTAAAAGTGATTTCTTCGAAGTACGGGATCAAGGTTAACACATTCTCTTTATAAGGAATGAGATTTGGGTGCTCCATATCCCATTCTCCCTTGATCTAACTGATCACCAGGGCTGAGTCCCCATATACATCCAAGAACTTGATTCTTAGGTCAATAGCATCTTTAATTCCCATAATGCACGCTTCGTATTCGGCCATGTTCTTGGTGCAATCAAAGAATAATCTGGTGGTGAAGGGCGTATGGAAACCCTGAGGAGAGATAATTACAGCACCAGTTTTGTTTCCAAGTGCGTTGAAAGCTCCTTCAAAAACCATAGTCAATCGGGATCCTGTCTCAGGTCCTTCATACGGTTCGGGTTCTTCACAATTTGTGACTAGCATAATGTTCTCGTCCAAGAACTCAAAATTCATAGACTGGTAGTCGTCTATGGATTGATGTGCCAAATGATCTACCAGTACACTTCCCTTGATTGCCTTTTGAGTGGTGTACTGAATATCGTATTCTGTCAAGACCATTTTCCATTGGAGAGAGCTGGCTTCTCGAATATATACTTGATGGGATCCATTTTAGAGATCAATAAGGTAGTATGGGTCAACATATACCGTATTAGCTGGCGAGCAGCCCATGCAAAAGCGCAACAAGTTTTCTTGAGCAGTGAATATCTTGTTTCATAATCGGTAAACTTTTTGCTAAGGTAGTATATTGCATGCTCTTTTCGACCAGACTCACCATGTTGCCTTAGTACACACCCCCATTGAGTTCTCTAGCGTTGTTAGGTACATGATTAGAGGTCTTCCTTCAACTGGTGGAATCTAAATTAGAGGTTCTTGTAGGTACTCCTTAATTTTATCAAAGGCCACTTGGCAGTCGTCGTTCCACCTTACTACTTGATCTTTCTTCAGCAGCTTAAAGATTGGCTCACAAGTAGCACTCAAATGAGAAATGAATCAGGAAATGTAATTCAATCGTCCTAAGAAAACCATTGAGGATATGATGTCACTGCTAAGAAGCCCATGTTGAATTGCTTCATAACCTCAGCTTTGATCTTCTCTCACATCTCAAGACGCATGCGAAGAACCCTCTTTCATTGGAAGACGATGAACCACAATATCAGTATCGATCCCTGGCATGTCTTTGTACGACCAAGCAAAGATCTCAAAATAGTTATGCAACATATGAATTAACCTGTTCTTGAAACTGCTCTCTAAATTAGCGCATATCTTGACTTCTTTATGGTCTGTCTCGGTACCCAAGTTTACAAATTCGACTGGTTGTTCATGTGGTTGGATAGCCTTTTCTTCTTGTATTAAGAGTCTGGAAAGTTCTCCCGGTATTTCACAATCTTCCTCACCTTCATCCTCGGCTTGGTAGATCGAATTTTCAAAGACATGAGTGGAAATAACAGAATCAATATCGACGGGATCCATTGTGGATGTGGATCTACAATGTAGTGTGTGGGTGTGTGTAAGAAACACGTAGCTGTATTTGAAAGTAATAAAGTAATGGAAAGACAGAGAGCGTAAAATATGCAGAAAACCTCCAATGTTTTATTATATGAGCATATGCGGATGAAGGATAATAACCCTAATAAGTGAACCGTTGTGCCCCGGGTAAGGCACAAGGCTTAAAGTCATTGTTTTAAAAATTACATATCCCAAAAACTTGAAAGCAATAAACAGAAAATAACAATTACTCCTGACTAAAGGAGATTGGTATAGAGACTTTAGCCTTCCAGTTGTTGAGTTTACAGCCAATGGTAGGGAATATCCAGTTGTCTAAATCACAATCATTATCAGTGTCTTCTATAGCAGAAACAACATCAATATTATTCACACATTTTTTGTGCTTCGGCATTGGTGTAGTGATTACATTCAGAGTCTCTGGTGGATAAAACTCAATCTCTTTGTTGTCAATCAGATCTTGGATTTTGTTTTTTAGAGCCCAACAGTTGTTGGTGTCATGCCCAGGACTATTAGAATGATAGGCACACTTCACATTCGGATTGTACTTAGGAGAGGAGGTGTTGGGATTAGGAGGAGGATCCCGCAGTGTCATTAATTCTGATTTCAACAGATATTGTAATGCCTGAGACAAAGGCATACTAATCTTGGTGAACTTCCTCCTCGGAGCATCTGACCTAGTTGATTCCCCTGTTGTTGTTGTTGAATAGGTGCAGGATTAGAAATCAACACCGCTCCCACAGGCTTATGGTGATCATTCTTACCACGACCCTTCTGGCCATAAACTACATTGGTTTCTTTCTTATTGTTGAACTTCTTCTTTACAACACTAGAAGACGCAGCCACCGAAATCTTTCTGCTCCTGATACCGCTTTCAACTCGCTCCCCAGTCAGGATTAACTCAGTAAAACCAGATGATGAACTCCCAATTAACATATTAAAGAATGGACCCGTCAGAGTGCCCATGAACATATTAATAAGCTCCTGATCAGACAAGGGAGGTTGGACCCTTCCAGCTAAGTCTCTCTACTTCTGTGCATATTCCTTAAAACCCCCGTTCGAGCCCATAGACATGTTTTGCAACTGCACTCGAGTCAGTGTAAGGTCAACATTATATTGATATTGCTTATAAAAAGCAACAACCAAGTCTTTCCACGTATGGATGTTGGTTCCTTCTAGCTGATAGAACCATTCGAGTTGAGTGTCAAATAAACTTTCTTGAAAAAAGTGGACCTATAACTTCCTGTCAGCAGTATGGGGTTTGATTTTTCATACATACGATCTCAGATAAAGCTTAGGACAAGACACACTATCGTATTTAGAAATTAAGGGGGCCTTGAACTTGTGGGGAATAAAAAACCCATGAGATAATACCTAGTTCTTCAAAGTCCAACCCAGGAACTCTCTAGATCTCCATAGCATTGAGACGATCTTCCAGTTGCTTGTACTTGTCGTCGGCCGGGGGATATTATTCATCTGAATAGTTCATTTCTTCTTCATCAGAACCCTTGTTGTTAGCCTTCATACTTTTGTCATCATCCTCCGGGTCATCATTTTTTTCTTCAAACTCCAAAGCTCGCTTGACCGGACCTTTGAGTCTCCTACCCATATTGAGGTCGCCAGTTGGTTTCTTGACTTTCTCCTTCTTCTCTTTAGTGATGAGGGCCTTCAGCTCTTCCTTCCCCTTGGCTAGACTCGAGAACATTTGCTGGAATTGAGCATTCTGTTCTTGGAGATCCTTAATTGTTTGTTCAAGAGACATTCTTTTTGCTGAAATAAACAACAAAAAGATAAGAAACTTGTCTTGAAACACTTGTCATGTAGTGATATGCATGGTATGTATATGCAATGTTTTCAAGGACCTTATGAGATTTAAGTTTTCTAACCAAGAGGAAACAGAAACAAAGATTTTTATTAATAAGTTTATGTGAATACAAAGATTACAAAGAAATAAATTAAAAAAACTCCTAAAATTCTAAGTTTCCCATGGACGCCTTCTCTTTGTGTTGATATATTTGTTAAGACTCTGCTCCTCATGAAGTTTCTTCGTGTGCTTCAGCACTTTCTTCTCACTTGAATAGAATCGAGTCTCAAAGGTGTCATGTTCTTCCTTGAGTTGAATCCATGATTTTTGCAATTCTTCAAGGTCAGTAGGCATGTCTGGATGAAGGATGGTGCGAGAAACGTCTCCTTCAACAACAGGCTCCATGATTACTGGTAGGATAGCAGGATATGGCATCATAACGTTTTGAGCACGAGTTCGGACCCATTTGAGATAGGGCTCCAGAGGAATGTAGTTCTTATGTCTTAAATCCCTGCTATCAATCTTGCTCACCATGCCCCAAGCATGTATAAACCTTTGACAATTACCTTGGATCATTCTCATAATCGAATACAATACCTTGGATAAGCGTGTCATGAGGACCGTCTCTTCAAGCATAACCAAATTATCGGAGAGCTAGAGAAGGGTTGTAAGTAATACCTCCCATAATGCCAAGGAGTGGAACATTAGGGAATTATCCATAGCGGTCAATGATAGTGATATCCTCGTGAGACCAAGAATACTAATAGATGTATCTATGAGAGAGTGACATTATTCTTTGAGAACACCTCAA